AAGTTGAAAATCGTATGAAAATTTCATCAAACTTTGTTGAATCTACTTTAGTTGATTTAATCGAAATTTTAAAAACAAATCCAAACAGTAAATTCTTTATATCTTTAAGTAATATGACTGACTTGCATAATCATCTAATACAAATACGATGTGATCCAAGACTTGATCAAAGAGTTTTCAAAACTTCTACAACATCTCAAGTAGCTGTTATATGGGTAGAAAATGATGCAAATACTAATGTTCGTGCTCGTGATATCACTATATATGGTTATTCTGATGATTCACACAAAGTTCATTATTATTATGGGTGTTATGATCCATTGCAGTATCCGTTCCTTTTTTCATATGGGGAATCTGGTTGGCATGAAGGCATTGAGAGATGTAGAAATATGAATTTTCAGTCTAGTCGTATGTCCACATTAGATGTTTTTTCTAACACAACTACTTATGCAGCTGAAATTATCGAAAAAGAGAATGAAGGTTTGTAAATATATCATTTGCTAGATTTTTTTATGTTTTACGTTATCTTACGTTATCAAGAAATATTGAATTTAGTTTCCCTTTGAGTTTTGTAGTGCTCAATGAAGCGAAAAATCATACTCAGGTATCTTGTCGAGAATATTATTCATATAAATTATAGATTAGGTCTTCTGGTAAGTATGTGTTCCTTCACGCCAGTAGATTGTTTAAATAATATGTTGTAAATATGTACGTTAAAATAGAAACTACTAGATTAGATTATTTTCGTAATAACCAAAAATAAATTCTTGTCGAACTTTACCAAGGTATTGTAGATAGTGTTCAAAATGGATAAACAATAAACAAGAGGATGCGAAGTTGGAAGAAAATTTGTTTTACCACAATCATTTACATGTGGGCCTCGTGATATGCTGAGAAGATATATGGATGGAATGACTCTTGTGCAACGTTATGGAAAATCGGACATATTTTTTACTATAACATGTAATCCGAATTGACCAGAGATTAAGCAAGAACCAAAAAACAATGATGAAGTTCAAAATCGACCAGATTTAATTGTACGTATATTTAGAGCAAAATTAGAAGAATTGAAACATGATTTATACAAAGCAAATATTTTAGGCCATATTATTGCACATATATATGTGATGAATTTAAAAAAAGAGGACTTCCTCATGCGCATATGTTGTTAATATTTAACTTTGAAAATAAAATTACTTATGCTGAAGATATTGATAGGATAGTGTCATGTGAAATTTCTAACAAAAACAAATACCCTCATCTTTATTTTGTTATTGTTAGACATAATATGCATGGTCCTTGTGAAAATTTAAATCTGAAAAATATATGCATAGAGGCAAATAAAGGTTGTAAATGTAAATACCCTAGAGATTTTTGTAATATTACTAT